GGCCTTGAGACGCTGGCAGTAGTCTTGGGCCATGGCGGGATCGTGAATGGAACAGGGGCCAACGATGACCAAGAGTCGGTCGCTGCGGCCCATGATGATGGAGACGGCCTCGCGGCGTCCCTTGACGACGGTCTGTAGCGAGGCATCGGTCATCGGGATCTCGGAGAGGAGCAGGGCAGGGGGGATCAAGGGATCCTGGCCCAGAACTGAAGGGTTATTAGAAGTCAGCATGGTGAATGTTAAAGAAGTCTGGTTTGTCAAGTCTATCGTCGCAGTCGCAGTCGCTTCCTCAACGCAATGACGAAAGAGAAACGGGACAGCATGGTGCGAAAAGAGTAGCTGTGCTGATATAGATAATCCAAGGTCATCGATGTCTGCTTTCCTCTTCTTCATTCCAGTCTCTGGTTCACTGGGTCGTCTGTTGGTGAATTGACGATGTCGAGAACAAAAGGAACAGCCGTGCGTAAGAGGGTAGACATGGCATACCTCTCATGTCATCAGCCTTCAGCGGCGACATGTCGACTCCCGGCATGGTGACAAACACCAATTAAGCTCAATTGGTCGATGTAGAATAACTGAACTGGTCGACAGCCCAGAAGGTAGAGCAAGCAATGTGACACGCTCGCGTCCAAAGATAATGCTGGTGTACAGGGCCAATTGCGGTGAATATCGACTCGAGATGTTCGACGTAGGTAAGTATGTATATGTGTGGCCGGCCGAAGACTGACTGGCGGAAACAAGCAAACTGTTAAAGCAAGTGAACAACTTGGGGGGTATCTAAATGGTGGTATGTATAGTATTGAACAAACTTGGACTTGAGTAGAAGCTTCAAGGTCCAGAGTTGAGTGTTATTTACTGTATCTCAAGTGAATGGGAGGAAGACGAAAACAAATGAGTCAGTCACAGAAATTCTGGAGATGGACGAAAAATATCGTCTATATTAAAGCAAAAGATGTGAGTGTGACCCGACAATGTAGGGGTCCCAACTCCTGGGTCGGCCAAAAAAAGTGCTGGTGCGAGCTTGTGCCAGCAAGTAACATGCGATGGAGGGGCAGAACGTCAGGGGTGGATACAAGTACTTGGCAGTAACCTGTACTTATCTTGGCAGAGACCAGTGCCGATTTTGGCACAATCAAGACTTGATTCATGGTAGCAAGTACAAGCCCACTACCGGTGCTACCGTCCCGTAGCTCTAGCCCTGCAAGTCCATGTCGAGGGGTCACACTAGCGCAGAGAATGCGAAAGATTTGGGTTCAAACATCCAAGCTACAGGAAGCTGGAAAACAGATTGTTCATACGACGAGAGTACGGTTTGCATTCCTTTTTCTCTTTTTTGTCAGTAATAGTTGACCCGTGATGTAAACAATCTTGGTGTTTGTATGGAAATCCCCAGTGGTGAAGCTTTCCTCTGTGGCCGATGCCGGTAAACAGGGTATCCTAAGCTGTGTGTGCTACTGAAGAGGGGCATGCAATCCTTAACAAAGTCCCACTTGACACTGTAACCCACATTGTACATGCCACATGCCACCGCAGGCCAAGGAGGACCATTGCTCCCTTCCAGTTGTCTAAACTCGATCTGTACCGCAAGAAGGGAGCTTGTTCTGAACTATTTCGCTCCCTGATATCTCCGAGACATTTTTCTTTTCCAGTATGGACGACGGATTCCTGTGAACGTGAAAGGCTACCTACGTACAGGCTAGGTTACCCTGTAACAACAATGGACAGTAGGAATCAGATCAGATGCAAGCTCAGAGGAACACTGAATCCATGCCTTCAAGTTCAAGTCACGATACAGTGAGTCATGCCAATCAGCCAGCAGAAGTAGATTGGATGAACCTTAAGTGAAGAACACTTTGCTTGCTTACATGTCCAACTTTCACCGCTCCAGAGAGTCCAGACCAATAACAGCCTCCACCCACGCCACGTCTATTTCTGAGGCCTGTCTATTCATATGCACCCGGCAACAGGCACCTTTCTTTTGCTTTTCAAAAAAATAGAATAAGGGAACAAGATGAACAAATCAAACAGCGCAATGAGGAGCACTTTTGCTTTATTTACTACATCCAGAATGTGAGATCAAAAACAACAAACAAACCACTCCTACGTGTACTTATGTACCGCTTGATTCGATAAGGAACGAAAAAAAAAAAAGGATCTGAAAAAAAAGATTCAGTCCCCCCAAAGACACGTTGCCTGTCGTGCAAAGCATGGATCTGATCTAAGTCTAGACCGAGCCAAGGTAAAGTAAAGTAGATTTCGAGATCCCGCTTCAGATCCCCGCACCACGATGGGCACCCAAAAAGGGATTTATTTGGGGTAGGGAGTTGCAGATCAAGCAAGATTGCACACCGAATGTGTGTGGGATGGGATAGGATGAAGAAGAGGTGAAAGGTGAAGCGCGGCAGTCGTTGAAAAATATCATGTAAAGGGGGATATTCGCATCACCAAGGGTCTGTAGATGAATATCACTCACGAACGGCAGCAGATAGATATACACACATGAATGGGAGTTGTAAAAGTCCTATGCATCAACTAACTTCCCCCATGGGCCATACGTCTGAGTAGCTACCTATGTAGGTAGTTACCTCTTGAGCCAAGAATCAATCCTCTTGTAGATCCATCCATCCTCGCTGCCGAAACCGGCTCCGCATAACCTAGACAGACATTGGACCCAAGCCGACAATTCAAAACGCCGGGTTCACTATGTGTCCGTCTGTAAAGAAGAGGCACATACATATTATGCAATTTGTATTTATCACATATGCTGCCAGATCGCCCAAGAGAAGAAAGACCAAACAAACATCTCCCAATTCCTCCCCCATCGAGCAAAAGCCCGCCTCGGCTGCGCGGGAAAAATGTTCCCCAAATCTATATCCTAGAATGAAAGAACGGAGGCACCCCGTCCGTCGTTCTGGGGAAGGGGTCTCCACAACGGGACGGCCGGCGCGGCGGGATGCGATATAAATATTCCTCTACCTACCAATCGACTTACCTACCTACCTACCGGTGATGTTCCGTCTTGGAAGGGGGGGCTTTTTCTGTCTTGGCATCGAGTAGGTTACTTGATTACTTTCGTCGTCGTTGATGTCGAGTTCTCGAATCGCACTTTGAGATTTTAGTAGTCTGTCTATTCAACATGTTCGGGGGTACGGCACACAAGCTGCTGGCAGCGGCTGCTACTTGTCTACTATGGACGACATCCGTCCTGGGAGCACCGCTTGAGGGGAGAAAAGCTGCTCTCAGACCACACCCAAATAAGGGCTCTCACTGGGTGGCCACCTGGACATCGATGCCGCAGCTGGTTGAGCCGGCCAATCTGCCTCCGGCTCCCTTCGTAAGCAATTGCCTCCTCACCCGTATACATACATGTAATAGTCTTTCAAAATACATAGGATACTGACATGTACGAAAAAATAGACTGGCTCAGGTGTCTTCCAGAATGCGACGCTTCGCCAGACATTGCACATGTCCATCGGCGCTGAGAGGATCCGCATTCAGATCGCCAACATCTTCGGCGGGAGCGTCTTGCCCATCACAGCCGCGTCCATAGCGCTGCCCACGGGTGGCCTGGCCGGCGTGAGCGGCATCGACACGACGACCCTCAGAGCACTGACTTTCAACAACGGGTCGAGCTCCGTGGACATCCCACAGGGCCAAGTGGTGTACACGGACCCGATCGACTTCGACGTCGCTCCGCAGTCCATGCTCACCGTCACTCTGTACTCCGAGGCCGGGCAGTCCGGAACGAGCATCACCGGCCACCCCGGTAGTCGCACGACATCGTGGATGCAGCAGGGAAACCATGTGAACGACGCTGCGGTGGCCCAGGCGAGCGCGGTGCACTGGTACTTCTTGACGGCTGTCGAGGCTTGGGCGCCCTCTACCACGGCCGCGTTGGTTATCCTCGGCGATAGTATCACCGATGGGCGTGGGAGCACAGATAACCAAAACAACAGGTAAGAAGAATGTGGGTTGGAGCAGTTCACAAAATGCCACAGTAAATAAGACTGAGCAAGCTAAGCTAACGTACACGCGATGCAACACCACACGCAGATGGCCAGATCTGCTCCTGGCAAGAATGCAAAAGGAGAACATCACCAACATCGCCGTGGTTAACCAAGCAGCAGGCGGAAACGCCGTGCTAACTGGAGGACTGGGCCCCCCACTGTTGCAGCGATACAAGCGCGACCTTCTCCAAGTGGCCGGTGTAAAGTACGGCCTCATCTTCGAAGGAGTCAACGACATCGGCGTCGGCGCAACAGACTCGGCGACTCAGGGCCGCATCGCGAGCGGTCTGGTGTCCGCATTCAAGAACATCACGACGGATGCCAAGGCCGCCGGCATCACCATGTTCGGAGCCACCATCACCCCGTTCAGCGGCAACGGGCAGGCGTACAGCGACCCGACACGCGATGCGGCGAGGCAGAGGGTGAATAAATGGATCCTGGCTGGTGGCGGTGGCAGCTACGTCGCTACCATCGACTTTGCCAAAATCCTGGCGAACCCGGCCAATGCGAGCATCCTGGCTTCGCAATACGACGGTGGTGACCACTTGCATCCCAATCCAGCCGGGTATCAGGCAATTGCCGACCACTTCCCCTTGGGGATCTTAAAAAGCAAGAGACACCCAGGATGGTGGTGGTTTTGATGATTCACGTCTGCTGCAGCCAAGATTCGGTGCAAGCGTCGGTATATGAAGATCTCTGATGTGATCTTGTATAGATAGACCTTGGAACTTGGAAGGCGGGAAGCAACCAAATTCGTGATGAATTGACAACCATCTTTGCAATTTCCAAATTTCTTGGTGTTGATTGTTGATTTTCTTAGATGATGTAAAGAGCAACTCTACTTATACCAGCCTTGGCAAAAGCACGACAGACAAGGGTAACCCAAAAGAAAAGGCAAAGAAAAAGCTGCCTGGTCATTCATAACAAGCGAAATGAGGAGGAAAAGTTGAAGTTAGTTGGGAAAACGAATAATTCTGCAATAGCCAAAAAAGACGCCCCAGGCGGGGGTCGAACCCGCAGCCTTCGGATAACTCTCTAGGAGGCTATCCCATAAAAGTCCGACGCTCTAACCAATTGAGCTACCAGGGCTTCCTTGTAGTTGCTTGTCAGGGGTGCTTAATTGGGTTCAAGATGGTAAAGATTTAATCGGCTCCACCTTCTCGTAGAGTTGTTTGCTGTCCATTGAGGTAAAATGTCGGGTCTCATTGATGACCTCGTTTGCAAATTTTGATTTTGCACACAAGCCATTGACTTGTGTCTGGGTACCTGCTTGGTTTCAATGGTCTGGAGCGTTTTGGTTGGTTCCTGCCAGTGATTGTTTCAAAGATGCTGGGCGAGAGGGTGCGATGTACCTTTCCCCATTGAAACGGAAGGCACCTGCTGTTTGCCATTTGTACACCATGCCACCAGGCAGGCACAAACAACTCGAACACAGTGCACATCCATTTACCGCAGGTAGGTACCTGCCATTCTGTACCTACAATACCTCATTGTAACCTTCCCAAACAAAATTCTGCCAGCCCAATCTGCTACACCGCCCCCGTCTTTCCCAAACCAGTTAGATTCTGCCATGCTCCACCGCTCTGGGACATCTATATAAACCTGCCCCTCCTCCCACCTTTCTCACCTTTCTCTTCCCTCTTTCCTCTTCTTCATACTTACCTTGGAGGGAGAGAAGGGGGCTCAAGAATCCCCTTCCTCAAGACTGGCGGGCCTGCATTGCACAGCGCGGTCGTCTTCCGTCCTCTGTCGACGCACTCTGTGTGTCCCAGGCTCTGTAATTTTTGATTTTCTTTTCGATCCAGTTGTCGTTTTCATTGTGCTCTCCGCTTCAATGCCGGGACGCGAAGAAGATGATTTTGCTTTTTCGTGATGTTCGACTCCAATCCTACTTGAGTGGATGGGATTGTTATGTGTGAATCTGTGAGTAGTACTTACCTAGTATCATCAGTCAGGCCGATTGGAGCGATTGGAGTTCAGACCTTGTGTCCCAAGTGCGAAGTTTGTCGAGATGACGATGTCTGCGCCGTCAGTCTGCGGTCGTGTGGGCGCGTTGTCTGCCTTCGACGTCAAAAGAATGCGCAGTGTGTCCTGCTGGTTTCTGTCTGTGTTTGGACTAGGTAGGATGACAGATACCCATGTATTATGTCGGTCAGTACAGTGACGGCGGATCAGAGCCCATCATGGCTGCCTGCCAGTGTTTATCCACCAATTCATCATCATTGGGCCATCATCATCCATGTCGTTGCTGCCTACGTCTGCACTAGGATGCAAAGCTGTGGGCGGTTTCAATGGCAACCATGGCTGCCTAATTAATACCTTCCGATTTTCATTCAACTTTTCCGCGGTGGTAGATTTTCCGTTGTGCTCGGGAACAACACCCACCAATGTCATCCATCGTCACCAATATAGCTGCCTATCGCTGCAATCTGCTCATCCAATCTACGTACTTTGGTAACTAAAGATCGCGATCCAACCCCAAACGGTGTTTTTCCCAGTTCTGACTGATGCTGCGATGCCTAATGACAACCATCACGAACACCTGTTCCCTGGTTCCTTCCCTGCATGTCATTGAATCTAGAACCTCTTTCCAGTGGTTTGACTTGTCTAGGAATCATCTCCCGATTAATTCATTCAACATTCGACCTTTGATAACCGCCTACCAGCATGAACAATTGGGAAAGATCACCGAACGCAGCTTTTTAACTGTCACCAGTCCATTCAGACAACCTCTTGGCCGCTGCTCGACAATTCAAGAAGTGGATATGTTCAAGGTGCTGGAGGCTGCGACATGATACCATACGATGCCAAAAAGAAGCAGTACAAACAAGACGCAAAGAAAAAAGGCAATGAATGGAACGCCGCGCGAAAAGAAAAAAGGAGTCCTGCCAAACAAACCAAAGCGAAAACGGATTCGAGCACACCGTTCCAAGTCCCATACTCCACACGCACTCGAGGTCGTCGCTTTCCACATGTGTACGAAACAAATTCAATCAATCCACTGCCTCAATTGTCCACTACCTTACTGACTGCCCTAACCTACAAAGAAAGCCGGCAGGTCACCAGACAACAATCCAGAAAGAGTCAAGGCGAACTAAAGGTTTGGTAAGTACCTAAGTAGAGAGAGAAAAAGGAGAGGTTTATCTAAAATACTCAAAAAGTTTTATATAAACATTATTTGAACCCTCATCTTCTTATACATACATACAAGTTAACACAAGTTAACACATTTGGTCTTCAAGCCCGCCTGGTCAAGCACGTATTAGCCTAGCCTAGCATAACCTTAGCCAGAGAGACAGCCAGACAAGACTAAAAGATAATATAAAAAGAAAGAAAGAAGGGGTACCAAACCAGACCGGACCGGACGAACGTGATGAGAAATCGAATAATTAAACCTAACCTAAACCTAACCTAGACCCTCGTTTGGAATTAATTGAACGGAGAGAAAAAAAGAAAAGAAAAAAAGAAAAGAAAAGAAGGAAAAGAAAAGAAGACGCTTCAGATCTCTCTCTCTCTCTCTCTCTCTCTCTCTCTCTCTCTCTCTCGTTTTCCCATCGTTGCTTTCTTCCTGCTTTGCTCGGCTCTGCTCTAATTACTTCCTTCCTTCTCTCGATGATAGAAAAAACATTTCCATTTCACTTCCTCTTCTCTTCTCTTTCCTTCTCGTCTCTTACTCCACTATCACGACTTACTCCTACTTAGTACCCCTCTTCTCACGATCACCCCCGATCCTATCCTAATCTTACAGGTTGATAGATCCCGGAAACATCAGACTAAATTAGAAGCCCATGGCAAAATAATAAGAAGCAGCAGCAAACACCAGTCCCGTAACAGCGCCAGCTCGACGAGAAGATAGAGAAGAAGTGGCCGCGGACGTCGGGATAGACTGGAGAGGCGGCGACGGGGACGAAGAAGAGGCCGAATACGTAGCCGTCGTCGCGACGCCGTCTACCGCGCCAGTAGTGCTGTAACCCGTGCCTCCTGCTACAGGCACGCCTCCTGTCCCGGAGGCGGCGATGGTGCTCGTAATCGTCGTCGTGGTCAAGGGCGAGATTGACTCTGTCCCTGGATAGCCTGCGCCTCCTCCTCCTTCCACGCTGCCGGAGGTGGAAACGGAAGAAGACGAAGATGATGATGATGAAGATGAAGCAGAGGCAGTGGGGGTGACGGAGATGGTCAGCGTGCTGGTGAGAGTGGTTGGTATTTGGGTTACGCTTGCTACTGAGTATGTTCCTGTATCAGCCGTGGAGGTGGAGGTGGAGCCGGAGGCTGTTACGCCGTCGACGTCGCCTGTGGCTGTTTTTTTTTTCGGACGATTGTTAGTATGAAACGAACGAAGAGGTAAATACAAAACACAAGAAACATATGATTAGAGAAAGGGCCAGGGGAAATTTCAATGGTTCAAGTCCTTCGCAAAATCACCGTGAATAATATTGGACTCGCACTTACTCGTTGTCGACGCGCACGACGTAGTGGAGTTGCCTGTGTGGTAGCCACCCTCGCTCGAAGAGGTAAACTCCCCGGCGAGACCAGTTCCGGAAGTGAAGCCGGCAGTGGTGGTGAGAGTGTACGTCTCCCCATGGCTTCCGGTGGAAATGGTTATAGGAATGACCGTCGTAGTGGTGGGAATCAAGGTGAGCGTAGTCGTTGCCGAATACGACTCCGACTCCGACTCTGGTCCTTGTCCTCCGCCGCCGCCCACGCCTCCTCCTACTACCGATGATGAGGACGGCGAGCTGCAGGACGCAGAAACGAGCACGGTCTGCGTCTGGGTGATGGTGAGCGCCTGGGTGACGGTCACGACGTCCGTGACGGTGATGGGGATCAGGCCGCCGCTAGGGAGGAGGCTGGTGTCAGTCGCTCCGGCGTATCCATATCCCGAGGGCGTGGTCGCCAAGACGGGCACGACGAGGCCGACGATGGCCATGAGTCTATTGGAAACCATGGTTTGATCGGATCTGTTCAAAAGAGTGACTTGATTAGGTAAGGTGAGACCCCTCTAAGTAAGTAACGAGCGACTGCCCACGACGATGACCTCAAATAACAAGAGAGAGAAGATATTAGAAGAGGAGGTGCGTGAGTGAGTATGACCAGCCGGATAACTAGCTAGGGAGGAAGGGCCAGGAATGTACAGAGAGTGTGAGGATGAGTCTTAATCTTTATAGGCTCACCAGCATGGGGGGAGACAGTCAGCGAGGTGATTCACACAAACGTAGTACTTGGTAAGAGTGAATGGTGGGACGAGCTCATATCACCACGCGGGCCAGTGCTGTGAATGCCAGAGAGGCGGGAGATTCCCCCTTCCCCACCAGAGAGCACAGCGAAGTTTCTCCTGGTGTGACGCCATCAACGGCTTTTTCTGCACCTTCTTCTGCCTGCTCATGCACAGGTGGTGTCACAGAAATTTTTCTGGTCGAACCTGTTTGCTCCAGAGAAGGGACGGATACTGTTGCACAGAAGCACACAGAATCAGGCCCACCGGAGATTACGAGGTGTCACGTCGGTCCTTGCTGAAACGCCAGGAAATAGAGAGTGCTTGATGGCACTGATCTCCCTGGCCATGGGACGGGACCAGATGGAATAGTCCTGTGAATGGCATACTTTGTAAGGTGTTCCCACTTGATGTCTGAGAGGCCGTGAATCTGGAGTGGAGCCCCGGTTCAGAGATGAATTCTATTCTTTCGCGACTTGTCTCGAGTCGCCTGGCCTGGGACGAGCAGGGAAACAGAGCTGGGCCTCGCTCGCATTCACGGTAACAGGAACCGTGCTCGAACCTACATACCTAGTTAGCACAGAATGTAAGTAACCGCGAGCTTGTATGCCCGACTCAGGTACATAGAATATTAGGTTTGGTACTCGCGTGACACGTACGTCGCAGAGCTTTCCCAGCGCGCTGTCAGCACCGCGGCGCATCTACTGGTCATCTGGAGATGAGGTTTAAATTGAAGATAAACTCGAGGCAACGTCGACAAGGACTTTTGCCCTCAGCTGAGTACCTCTGTGGAACTCGGCCATCTCCAGGGACGATCCCTCCTCCTAAATTCACGCGCGGGAGTCAACTCGCAGACTTCGTTCCCGTCTTCTGAGTA